TGGGCGTGACCTGACGGCAATCATCCAATCAGACGTCAGATTTAAGCAGAAGTGGGCGGGGCTTCGGAGGGAAATCCTGACACACAGTGGCTGGTGGCTGATGGCGGGGGCGGGGCTTGTAGACGGAAGTGTCTCCCGACTGGTCCAGCTGTCATCTAGAAGAGAGAAGAGACCATTTACACCGGCTGCCTAGGAAATGCAGAAAAAGGGAAAACGCTAAAATATGGCAACATCAAAACGATAAGGTCATGACGCCGAACTGAAAGGTAGCTATGCCCGACATATCACCGAACACACGCGTTTGTCGACGCGTTAGAGCAGCAGCCAGGGCTCGGCGTCGCGTTATTTCGAGGGGTGAAAATGATGACAAGGATTGGTAGGCTGTGTGACATTGAACATACAGGACACGAAACAGACGAGGTCGTCTAAAGAGCCATACACCATTACCAACTAGTCCTGTCCTTAAACATTCCGCCGCCCGGCCGTTGGCAACGGCGCTGTGTACGTAACCGAAAATTCGAGGGACGTTGTAGCCGTTGTAGCCGTTGAAGCCGTTTATTGCTTCCCAGTTGGAGGTTTTTAAATTTTATTTTTAATTTTTTTTTTGTGTTTGTGTTGCAAAACATGCTACAACGTCTCTGCGGTATCGGGCTATTATCCTAGCCTAGCGGCTCCGTGAAGGGAACTACCCTAGATTCAGAACAGGCAGGAGACGTCATCAACATTTCCCCCTGTATTTAAATGCCTTGCGTACGAAGGGAGGTCACTGCTGAAGAGAGAGAGAGAGAGAGAGAGAGAGGGGGAGAAAAAAAAAAAAAAGCCTCCCCTCTTCTAATATTCACGCCGTATTAACGCTGAACTACATGACAGCGAATGCACTCCATGGTCACTCAAACGTGCTCCAGCACTTGGACTAAAGAAAGAAGGTGAGATGTTGTTTTTACAGAAATGGGGCTCTCTGTCGCCGCCTAGGGGCCACAACTTGGACCTCGGATGGGGGCTTTTGTAATGTGGAAAGCGCTGAGCCAATCCTGAGCTGCATCACTAATGTAATATAATCAATATACTCTGAGACTGCAGTTAATGAGGAGACTCAAAAGTTCTCAGTTAATAAAGAAAATATCACTGAATTACATTTCTAGGAATAGTTTTACCCTCTAGTTTTCAGGTACACTCCTCCTCATCTGTTGGTTAGTTGCATCATTCATTTATTTATTAGGGTAATTATTAATTTTTAAATATGTTGTGGGACGTCCTGATAGCTTATGTAGTAGAGCTGGCGCCCTTATGTCGAGTCCTTGATGCGGTAGACACGGGTTCGACTCCGACCTCTGCTCCTTATCTGTGTATCAACCCCTATTTCTCTCCTCCTTTTCCTGTCACTATCAATTAAGGCAATAAAAGTTGCAAATAAAACATTTTAAATGTGTGTGTGTGTGTGTGTGTGTGTTTAGACTTGATTTCACAATCCACAAACAAAATAAACGAGATCAAATAAAGAAATTGGGCACACTGTTCCAGAGTGTGTTACTATTTCAGTTTTAAATGCTTCTTAGCCATAGTATAATTAAAGTAATATTTCACCATCTTATAATTAATGGGTGTTTTTTGCTCAAAGTGTCGCCACTGTGTGTCGCTGCATCGTGCCGCCGCTCTGGGATCGTTTGGTTCTCCTGCCCTGAGCTTGGTGAAGTAGATGATTGTCGATTAAACTAATCACAATAACACCCACGGATTTAACTGCCGAGCATTGTAAGGTATCTAAATATATATACATATATGGAATATATAATGTCTTTGGCGAGACAAATAATGCACAAAGCCACTGTTGATGACATAAAAAAGCCCTACTTGAAGCTTGTTGGCTGATTTTTGCAAATGTGTTTGTTGACATGAGCACGATACAACAACAAGACTTTGAATTAAAGATAAGTATTCATACGCGTTTCTCTGAGTCATTTCCACTCCTGCCACCTGAAAAGGGGCAAACATTGTCTGATGTTATTAATCTTAGGTTTCATAACATAGTTAGGAGAGGGATTTAGCGTAAAAAGCCATTGTTGTTATTCTATGCTGGAGTAGAGTTCAAACCAAACTGTGAATGTCTGCCATAATAACAATCAGTGATCCCCAACAATGCCAAGTCCATGAACATGTGGTCTTCAATGCACTGAATTTAATATTAGGCCAACAGAAAAACGTCTATTCAAATTAGAAATGTGTATTTATACATGTATGTATAAATATTTCTATATGTACAAACACAAAACATGATTAAATGACTAATTTGATCTGCACGCTTTTCTTCCAGTTTCCCTCACTCTTAAATGCATATCTTACATTTACTCCTGGCACCTCTGCTCTGCTTTACTCCTCTATTCTTCACTTCTTCTCAACATATTTTCATTTCATTTTCTCTTTTCTTCTCTTCCTCTTGACCTGCTTTCTTCACAAGTGTTTGACATCTCATTTCCTATTACCGCTTTCACTCTTCTCCCCGCTTTCATGGTAAACCTGATATAATAAAGTAAAAACCAGGTTTACCATGAAAAAACACTTTCAGTTTAGGAATCTAAGTATTCAGAAAAACTAAATATTCCAGTGATATTTATGCTGTTTGCATAGGGGCCTGTGGGTTGTTGCATTGCTGTATATTGGTAAGTAAAGAGTGGGAGATGATGACTGAATGAACGATTTTAATATTCACTTTAAGACAAAGGTTTATTTAAGATCAATGCATCCACTGTGCCACTAATGATCTGTACTATTTTGTTGAAGCATAAAAGTCACGTAATTTTAGTTCAGTATAGTCCTGTGTGGAGGGTTTTGCGTCATATTATAAATATGTGTTTGTGTTTGTGATGCAGGGGCCAAGTCTGTCTGTAGCTGAGAGGCCTGATTGAAGTGGAAGTTGTACCTTAGAAAATGTTGGACACTACAACAAAACACAACTACTTAATACCAATACTAAACTGCTATTTTGTCTCTTTATTAAAATGTTTACAACCAATACATGCTGCAATGATCCCTCTTCATAATTCATCACAAATAATCTTCATTTTCTATATGAAAGGGAAGTGAAGTCACGTGTTGTTTAGTGCTGGAGCAGATTCAGGGTCACAGAGACATTGGAAACATGGCGATTGAGCTTCTTAAATTCACGCGAACATTTGTGTCCTACAACATTTAAAGTCCCACATATACCAATAACACATATTCCTCACGTCTGTTATTGAATGCAGAGCGATATTCGGGCTCACCCGTCATTGTCGCCTGGTGTTTGAACCTTCCGGCGCACCGTAGCAGTGATGTGGCTCAGAAAGTGATCTTCCACGTCACTAGGAAGTAGGGGAGAGCCGCAGAGACAGCTCGCCAAAGGGAATCTTTACAGATGTAAATATCCAACACTGGGTATCGAAGGCCACCTCGGAGGGTAATAGTCGTGCAGTGTGGTAGGTAATGTACCTTCCTTTGAACCAACGCGACTGATGTGTTTCTTTCCTGAGCCGTGGCAGCTGAAGACAGCGAGCTAACGTTACCGTCCTCCATTTCATTGCGAGCCTGGACAGGAGCTAAGCTGGCGTTAGCTTACGTTTCGCTAGTTAGCAGTTTCTCACATGTACGAACTTTACTAATCTAACCGAATTGAATAGTCGACCAACTACCTGATGTTTGCGTTGTGTTTGGGGTTTTATTGAGGTTTTTGCTGCACAGCTGTTACAACTAACGCTGCGTTGACGCCATTAACGCTGGAACAGTAAGTTAAGTTAGCTTCATCGATAACGCTGCGTGTCCCTCTTTCTTCACTGTCTTCATCAGTCCAAACCTAACGAAGCAACTTAAGCTGCTTTTTGCTGTCACAATGACAGCTTGTGCCTGTGTTGATGTAAAGGTAGCAGTCTGGTTTACAGCCAAAAGCAGCAGAAAACGTCAGGATGTCGGAACCTCTGTAAACGTGAGCTCTTGGTATTGAGTTGTCTCCACAAAGACAGTTCAGCAGTAATCGAGCTCCTCTTTTTGTTACAACTAGAGTCGTGACACACTATACTGTTTTTTTGTCAAATAAAGTGGCTATGTAATCTACTTCTGCTAATTTCAGATGTAAGTCTGTTTTTCTGTTACAAAATCCCTGTAATTATCTTTTTGCACATACCTGTCAGTATTGTCTGGGCTTACAGGTGATCTGCCAACCAGCTTGTATTTTCAGTTCATTGCTGTTGTGGTGGTCACTGCTACCGAGATAATGGCCAGTTTCCAGACAACATTTCCACACGGAATTGGTGTTAACACCTTAAATTTAGACAAACAAGTGTTCAGAATATCAGATACAAGCAATGTGCTCTGTATTACGTAAAGGGCCTTATGAGGATAGGGTGTAAGTTTGTTTAAAACAATAGTCAGGAGCCCATTGAAACAGGTTCTTCATCCTGTTAATACTGGCCATTACGAGGACCCTTTTCTATCGTGCTTCCAATGTCAGTGATGGTGGACAGACAGATGGTTCACAGTCTTAATTTAGTGCATAAATAGTAGTATGAGTTAGGCAAATCAAGTAAGTATCTTCAGTATTCTCAGTTACAGACTTTTTAGTACAAAATTCCCTCTGTATGTTATTATTCCTCTGTCGCAGCTTAACATGGAAGTACTATCTGGGGAGACCTCCTGGAAGATGCCCACTTGATTTGCCAAAGTCAGACTGCTGAAGTCTTATATTTACTTCACATAAACTTATATAGATATATTTTTGTACAGATTGTGAACTGTGGATTTTGTCCTACATTACTTCCACTGGAAGCATGTTATCAATCGAATCGAGTTTGAATCTTTAAATGGCCAGTATCTACAGGAGAAATTATTACAGCAAACAAAACTTG